ATTTAATGTAAGATTCAACTATGTATTGTAATAAATCTAAATATATGAAGGTGTATCGTACCTATATAGTTAGAAAGTTTATACTAATCTAATTGGTTAAAAAAAAAACATTGCTTAAGAATCTAGTGGCAAAAGAGAAATTATCTATATTTTTATTATTTCTAGACTGTTTTTTTTTTTGCAGTGTAGCTATGACCTTTCTTTTCCTTCGCTTCGCCTTTCAGGCAAGGATAAGGATGTCGTTGCTGATAATGATGAGACAGCCTGACGATGATGGCAGCAAAGGAGACACATGTCGGCTGCATTATAGTCATAACGTGTATAATTAATCACATCACGCTGTAGGGGAAGCTCAAGAATTATATTCAATTTGACCTAATGCTCTTGTATCTTGTATCTGTGTGCGTGATTTAGCGCGACAATGTCCACTGCGTCAATTTAGCCACGATGCACATGGCCAGCGTCCTTAAGCCGTCAAATCATTGCTCCAACACCGTCAACTGACCCCAGAGGCATCGTTTCCTTGCTTTGTTTTTCGGTCTGTGTGGGTTTGTATGCCTGTGTGTTTGTGTGTTTGTGTGTTTGCATGTCCGTGTCTGTATCTGTGTGAGCCCCTCTGCGGTTGGCTGTTATTACGAACCCAACGCGCTGCCACTTTGGCCACCCAGTTACAGCCCGCCTGCAGAGAGAGAAAATAAGTGTAAGTAGGTCCATTAATTTTTTTTGTTTTCAATATTCATTAAGTGAAAAATATTATAGTTTATAATTTGTATAGAAATAATTAAAACAAAAGGTGATATTTTTGATTTATATAAAGAAATTATTAGTCTTAGAACACTCTACGTTGTTTGTTTTTAAACATTATAGAATTTCGCAAGTCTTTATTTTACATTCATTATATACAATTTTCATAAAAGTAAACAAGTTTTTAGTTTTAATGGTCTTTTTAAGACTTGTAGAAAATGTATAATTATTTAATAAATTTAAAAAAAAACACCCTGAATAGATTATTAAGCTTTCGAAGCATTTTCTAAATTGATTACTTGATCTTAACAAAAATAGTCCTATTATTTTTAGGTGTAAATAAATCTTGTTAGACGGTCATAAATATCTCAGTTCTTAAATGCTTATAATTAATCTTAAACAACATTTATACAGGCCTTAAAATTTAAAAAAAACTGTAATTATCATAGTGACTTTTTAAGAATGAACTTCTTTTCTAACAATTTTTGGCTCAGTGGCAAAGCTCGGCTCGTTAGCCTGACCATGGCTAACAGGACGCGAATATAGATGCAGACATGGAAAGGGGCTGGCAGCTTAGTCATGCCTGCCAGTGCTGCGTCGACATCCTAGCCCCCTGCCACGCCCCCTTTATCCAGACTATTCCTCTCCCCCATTTCCCCTCCCCATCCCCTTTCACCTCCCCCTTTCCCTCCTGCTGTTGTATGTGACTTGCATGCGGCGCTGAGCGCCAAAGTTTTGACTTCAATTTGCCCAGTTACAAATTTTGGTCTTCTCCAGCGGTTTTTCTCCGGTTTTTCTTCGGTTTTGTTTGGTTTTTTTTTTTTTTGTGTGGCTCTGTGGTTCGACCTGTCTTCGGGAAAAAAAAATAAGCCACATTCAAGACGGAAGCGAGAGGAGCAAAAATGTGGTAAAAGACTTGACCAGCATTTGGCGACGTGTTTTGGCCACATCAGCGGATGGCCATCATCATCATCACCAGAGACAACAAGCAAAGTGGTGGGGATGGGGATGGAGATGGAGAAAGATGGAGAAAGTAGTTAAGCCCATTCCTCAGAGCGATGCCAAATCAGCCGCAATAAGAGAGTTGCAGATGGCAAATGTGACAGGAATTCGGAGAAGGGGCACAAATATTGCACGGCGAATCATTGATTTAATCCATAAAGTAGCCAACCTAGTTTCAGATTAAAAAGGGTAACATAAAACAAAGCCCAAAAATAATAATAATCGCCTAATCTGGATTAATATATAATACCCTCAAATCAAAGAGAGTTTTAAGAAGAATAATATAAACCTCTAAATTTTAATTGATTTACAAACCTTTAAAAGTTAAACTTAAATTAAATACTTGCTACATTATTTATTTGTTAATAGCAGTCTTTTATAATTTATATGGTGTTCAAAATAGTTTGAACTTATGTTATTTATGTAACCCTTTCGTGCGATCGGCTTGAGAATAGCATAGATAACTATTAAGAACTTCAGATTAATCTTTAAAAATGGATCGAAGTCTTAAATATATTAACCTACATTGCATTTGGACGTAACTGTAACCTGGTTTACTTTGCAATAAATAAAAGCATTAAATTGAAATGTAAATAGTATATAAAAATAAAATTCAGAATACAACTATACAATTCCGGTAAAATCCTTCTGAAGCTCTCTCTTCATTTATTTATGGGAGCCATTTCCCTTATAAAAGATAAGGCTTTGCCGAAGTGAAAAGTATTATTACTTATTACTTCTTTTATATTTTCCAAAATAGTTTGAATAAACGTTATTTATGTACCCTTTTGAATGCTTCAGCTTCAACTATTTGATGGCCAGATTTCGAGCAACTTTAAGGAAATCAAAACATTGCGGCCCCAGACTAGTTCAATGCTCATTGACTGGCCAAGAGCGAAATAATGCGAAACGTCTTTGCACTTTTGCCTTTTCTTGGAAGCGGAAATTGGAAAAATACTGGCGGCATTTTGTTGGACAGGTCGACCGGCAAGGAAAATAAAAGCAGAGGGCAAAGTGGAGTGCGGCAAAAAGAAAAAAAACAGAAAAAAAGAAACTGTCAGTGACAGCATTAAAACTAACAGGAATGGAGAGCGGCATTCTCGGCATTTTGCACATTCCCGGAGCATCGACAGGACTCCCTGGATCCAGGACGAGAATGTGGACAAGGACGAGAACGAGGATGAGGAGCAGGACCCCGAATGTGAGCGAAGTAGCCTCAGTCTCGTGTGGTATGCCACATGCAATTCAATAAGAATTTCCCACTTACCACGGTTGTAAAAGGGGTGTGATTTGGTCGCGGGGGGGAAGGGCGGGGAAAGTATTTCAAATGCATGCCAAACACTTGCTGCGGAATTCGTAATTGTGTCACATAAAGGAAGCGGAACACGGGAAAGCGGGAAAGGGGAGTCCTGGCCATAACTATAACCTTATGGCTACGTGATTCAAGTCCGACGAACGGCTAACAAGCCCACAAAGTGTTAAACTGTCTTCAATGCAAGGTGAATCCCAGACACATTTTATTTGCAACGAATTTCGCTTAGTTCCGAGTTATTTAATTCTCATTCAGCTTAAGGCTTAGCTTGCCTAACTAGGATAATTTTGCTTTATTCCATTCTACGAAAGAGCTTAAAACCTTGAAAAGGCTTCGAATATATTTCAACTAGAAACAAATAAATAAATTTGCCCTTGGTAAAATCCTTTACTACATGTAAGATGGTTAAATGGTGCTATGAACTCTAGAATGATCAAACGATTTTCATCTGAAAAAATTGTTCTTTTCTTTCAAACTTAAATTTTTTTAAATTTGATATTTTAAAGACATTCTCAAAACTGAGCTAGATTCAGTAGTTACTTTTTTAAATTTTGAAAAAACAAATATTGTTTAACCTTTAAAAAGCCTTTTATACAACTAGAAATCATTTAGTTTAATTATACTTTTTCCAAAAATTCTTTCGACTTCAGGTCCCATTTTTTTTGTAACGGAAAGTACTCAAGTGTCTAAAATATCCGTTATAACTCCAATTTAAATAACCCGCCTTTGCAGCCTTACAAAAGCTAAGCACGCGAAAACTCAAGCCGGAACCATGAACCTTAGAACAAAGTTCATCTGAGTCAGTGTGGGTGGTGAAAAGCTCCAGGACTAAGTTCCGAACTCACAAATCCAAAAGTGTGTAACGTATTTTTGGCGATAGAAAAGGATAGACTCCAAATTTAAAACAAACTATCACCTTAATTCCTTCCCAGCCTCTTAAACAAATAAATTTCAATATGTAACACAATAATAAAACGGTTTTCACATAACTTTTTTTTTTAATTTTTATTAAAAATGTAAATTCTGAAAATGCGGAATACCATAGTTCTCTATACCATTGACAATCTGTTTAGGTTTCGTTTTTTATAATTTCTTTTTTGCCGCGCTTCGATCAATTGCAAAGTTTTGGATTTGCTGTGGTGAACCTTTCGACTGTTTACATTTTCAATACCATCAATTTCTTCCTTTCTATTTGTTGGGGATTACAATTACAATTATAATGCTGCATTATGCATGTGTGAGTGTCTTGTGTTTATAGGTATGTATGTATTATGCATTTCTTTGTGGCCTTGAGAGGCCAACAAATCGTGACGATCACAAAAAAAAAGAAAAGAAAACCAAGCAAAAGGGCAATATACATAGACAATACATATATATACGATGTCATATATTATATATACTTTATTATATACTCGTACAACTAAAATCCAAGTATTATCGCGTGACTGACTGGCCGATCGGTTGGCGAATGGGATGCAATGCACCTTTGCTCAAGTCCAGGGGCGGACGCAGAAAAAATTTTTGGGGGGGGTCCGAACGAAAATTTTTTAGTTTGGGGGGTCCGATCAACATTTTTTAGTTTATATGGTTAAAAGACCGAATGCTGTAAGGGAATTTGAAAATTTCTGAGATTTTGGGGGGGGTCCGGACCCCCAGGACCACCCCCCTGGGTCCGCCCCTGCTCAAGTCACAAGTTGAATCTGTGTGAATTTGATTTAGTTGCCTACCATCCATCCACTTAGTTATACATATATATAGACGTACATATATACGCGACTGCATGTTGTATAATTTATGTAATATTGTTGTATGTGTATATATATATTTATATATATATATATATTTTCTAGGCATATCCAATATTGCGCGAAGCAAGCAATTCGTTTCACATCTAAAACTTCATCTCTCGATGGAATAGCATTTTCGTAATACAATTTCTGGATTTTCGTTTTTCTTTAGTTTTTTTTTTTTTTTTTTGGGCTTTTATTTCTGTTTTGTTTTTATCTTGGGTATTTCTTTAAGGTTTGGCCACGACGCTGAGACGATGTACGATGTTTGTGGCTGATGTTGAGCTGTCCAAATGCACCATAACCAGATGAGGCTCCTTCGCTCCTCGCCTCCTTGGATTCCCGCTCCTCCTTACTGCTCCTCGTCGCCCAGCTCGTGCTTGATCTTGGAGAAGTCGAACGTCTCGCCAGTGCCGCGCTTGAATATGTTCAACACATCCAGGCAAGTGGTCTCGAAGTGCGTGGTCGCATCGTACGACTCCGAAATGAAGATCTGCGACTCGGAGCCATCGTCGATCGGCTCCAAGTAGTCCGAAATGGTGACGAACTTTTGTGCAATCGGCTCCAGCAGATCCAAGCCAGGCTTGATTTCCACCTCCGGATTCTCGGTCTCCACAGTGGTGGACACCATGCCGACGAACCAGCCCTTGGCGGCCACCTGGTGAGTGGAGCTCACCAGCGACACGTAGATGTCCGACTTGCGGCCCACCTGCTTCTGTGGAATGATAATCTGCGTGGAGAGACCGTCCTTGGTGCTGGCCACCGGATGGTCCAGGATGCAAATGCAGCGAATCACCTTGCCACGCTTACGCACCTGCCGAACAAAAAGGAAGTAGATAAAATATATTATTATTTATTATTACGTCATTTTTCCTAAGAGTATTCACTTTACGAGACACTTATTGCTTATATTTTTAATCTATTTATCTAAATGAAAACACTATTTTTCAAACGCTTTCACTCCTTAAATCAATTAAACTATATCATTGCAATTACACGTTTAAATAAATTACAGCGTTAAATTGAAATGTTAATACTATGTGTATTTAGCTTGTAAAAACTAAGACTCAGTAATCGAGTCACTGATCAGTCTGATAATGATGTTACTGAAGCTCTATCTTCTTTTAATATTGGGAGCCTTTTCCATTACAAAAGGTAAGGCTTTGCTGAAGTGGAAATGACTTTTACTTATTAATTCTTTCATATTTTAGGTTACCCCTACCATTATGAAAAGCTCGGCGAAAAAATGTATTACTTTGAAGTGAAACAAGGGAAGAACTGGTTTGGAGCTCATGAAGCCTGTCGGCAAAGGGGCTATCAATTAATATCATTAGAGACTATAGAAGAATGGAATATGGTACGTAAATATCTCCTGGACAATGATTTACAGGGAAGACTCTGGACCTCTGGCACAAACTTGGCGAAAAATACGGAATGGGTATGGTTTTCAACTGGGGCACCGTTCACATTGAAATCAAAGTGGTGGGAAGAAGAACCAAATAATAAAGGGGGAAATGAACATTGCGTCGAAATACGCTACCGAAAAATAAAAGGTGATTTGGGTTTTAATGACCTACCTTGCGACCTTGAATTATTATATATTTGCGAAAGGCCTCAAAAGCAGGAATATTAACATTTTCTTGGAAAACTGATTCATTAAGTTTCTGATACATACACACTATTAGAAATCAAAAAGGAAAATTATTTAAAAACAAGCGTGTTTAAGTTAAGAACTGAATAAAAGCGAGTTGAACAATCCTAACTTTACTGATCTAACTTTAAAATTGTACAATATAATGCCCTTAGCTCGGTTAAATTTGTCCTAAGAGTTAATTTCTTTAATAGGGTTTTCAGGGGATTCCCCTGAAACATACACACATAGAACCTATGGTAAAACTCACCTTCTCGGGCACGTAGCTGGGATCGCAGTAGACCTGATTGCACTTGGCGACCTCGTCGCCGGAGCGCACGCCCACCACCTTGCCGCCCTCGCCAAGGACGATCTCGTCAATGGGCTTGTCCAGCATGTAGGTGCCGCCGTAGATGGCCGACAGGCGAGCGAATCCCTGGGGCAGTTCGCCCAGGCCGTACATTGGATAGAGGTAGGGCGACTTGCCGTACCGCGCCAGCGAATCGGAGTAGAGCTTGATGCGCCGGATGGTGTTCACCGCCGGCTCGTTCAGATACTCATCGTCGCGGAAAAGGGCCAGGGCGTGGCCGGTGAAGTCCTGCGTGTTCTTGTCCAGGCCAAACTTGTCGTACAGGCCCTGCATGTTGGCCTTGGTGGGGTCAAAGTCCTTCCAGGTCTTGGGGTCATCCTCCCGGAAGTCCTGCACGTAGATGAGGAAGTTGCGGAAGCGTCGCTTCTCGAACATACCTGCAAATATGTATTCGCATTTACATTATATAGTTTGCCATATTGGTCAGCTCCTGGGAATAGGATCTGCATAAAAAAAGGGGAGTGTGCTAGCCGCCGTTTCAGTTTCATTTGCATGCGCCAAACACTCGCTGCCACTGTTTGTTGAAACCTTTAATTTAGGGGGCGGTTGGCCAACCACCACCAACAATCAGAAACCACTTGGCCGCCCAATGACGTCATTCTGGGCATATGTGTAATGCGGACACAGTGGAGTGTCAACTAATGGACGAAACTTTCAATTGCCAAATTAATGTATTTTTCCTGCGGTGACTAACTGACAAATTTACAAAGTAGGGAAGTGAAAGTCTTGTTAAGCTTGAGGTTTTGAACTATGGGTTGACTTTAAAGTTACACATTGCAATCATACAGTGGGTAACAAAAGTTCATGTTACGAAATTTTAATATGCAAAATAAGATACTTTTTTTGGGCGACATATGTACATATTTAAGCAAATTGCGTTTTAATAAAAAAAATTTGTTTGCAGATTTTGGTAAAGCAGAAAATAAAATTATTACTCACATCTGATGAACTAAATAAAAAATAAATATAAAATCTACAACTGCAAAATGGTTACTGTAAAATTTTTTATTTAAACAAAAAAAAAATAATTTTAGTGGGGTTTTCACAAAATCAAGGTGTGTTTAAAAAATGTCTTCGTCTGACAAGCTCCACTTTAAAGTGAAGGGGTTCAATGCGCCTCTCCAAAAACTTGGTTGCAAAAATACGCCAAAATGGAAACAATTCAAAACCCAATCATAAGTAAATAGAGCGTGTTTGACTAATTGCATTTTGTTGCTACCACGAGAGAGAAAAAAAAAACATAAAATTTCCACCAAAGCGAATATCAGGTGTAAAATGGAAGCCAACAATTAGCGGCAGGCGTATGAATCAGCAAAGAGCGATTAAGTTTTAAGACCCCAAATATGAATCCCAATCAGAATAGGGCGTTAATAATTGTACAAATAAACAAGGTGTGGAAATATTTGAGGGAAATTGATAGAAATTCCATGGTAAACGAAGAAAACAACTGTTCTTTTTTGGCACACACATACGTGTCACAGTTGAAAACAACAAGAACACGAGCGAGTGAAAAAGCCGAGACAAAGAAGGGCAGAGAAAACGAAAAGAGAGAGGAAGACAGTGAGAGAGGGGGTCGCAGATAACAGTCGAGTACATACACACACACGCACAGCTGGTAATTTGCACAATTTTTGTGGGGGTAAAAAGAGCAATTATGGTACATAAAAATATACATATGTAACTAACCCATGAGATCGGATGCCAGGGCCTCCTTTTGGTCGACCGGCACCTTGGCAATCTTGCCGCCCTTGTACACGTAGCTTCCCTCGATGGACTTGAATTCCAGGTAGCGGGTGACGCCCGTGTGGATCAGGAGCTTGACCAGCTGGCCGTTGGCCATCAGGAATTTGGGGATCAGGTCCACGTTCCAGTCGCGGCCACGCCCAAAACGTTCGCCGGGCGGCTCCAGTCCGTAGCGCTGGAAGAGCTCCTCCAGCGGCGTTATCGAGGCGGACTCGCCGCCATAGTACTTGTTCCGATCAATATGCAGAACCTTCTTGCCGGACACCGAAAGCATTCCGCTGAGGATGCACTCCTTCAGGCCCGTTCCCAGCACAATCGCATCGTATTCCTCATTCATTTTTGCTCCTCTATATCACTTTCACAATAATCGAGAATTCTTTGCTGTCCGTGGGGGTTCCGATGCCTTTTTCACTTGCGACGTTCTTCGATTTGTTGGACTTTTCTGCGCTCAATAATTTTTCTCTACTCGTTCGCCTCTCGCTCGTCCGCTTTGTGAGACCCTTCGCCGTTACGCAGTTTGCTGGTCACGTCATGTTACGTTCTTCAGCGTTACCAGGGCTGCATTACTGCTAGTCGCTATCGGTGACGGGTAAATTTAAAAACAAAATCTACCAACAAATAAAACGGGGAGACAACTATTCATTTTGACAAATATAGGACAGTAGATCAAAAAAGAAACGCCTTAAATCCTTATATGTTTGCAATATGTTCATTTCAAAGGAGTAAGGGTCACATCCCTAGGCTTTTGGTATTTTCAGGGATGCATATTAAGAAGATTTTAAATCTAGCCACAAAGCAACTCATAAATTTATTATACCTAAAAAAAATGTATGTTCCTTTTTTTATGTTACTTTCCTTTGTTGGTTAGCGATTGTTTTACTTATTGCCTCAGTGCAAATGTAAAAATTTGAATAGTAAATTTTTGACCAAATTTTGTAAGCCTATAGCTCGTATAACTCGACTTTTGAAACAAAAGTTGTTAGCACTGTTTATGATAGTGCTTACGTTCTTTCTCTTCACTTTCTTTCAGTCAATTTGTAGCACAAAGGAGAACATATGATTCGTGGTTTAAACCCGTGCTTGGTTGAAAAAGTTTTTGCGGGCAAATTTAGGAAAAACTGTATTTTGGTATTTTACTACTTTTGGTATTTCACACGTACCTGCGTTAGCTCACACTAGCCATCAAATTTTGTTTTTTTTCGACGGGCTCGGGCGATTCGGACGCGATTTTTGAGTTGGGAAATATTTTGGTTGTTACGTTCTCCCCGCGGTCGTTTCTTGTTTCCTTGTTTCGTCGGATTTTCGCGTGTGCCGCGACTAGGCAAAACCAATCGCACATAATAAATACATTTTCGTGGAGCTGAAAAACACGGCAATGTAAATGTTTGATTGTTTTCATTTAAAACGGAGCCAAACACAACTGTTTGCAAGTGTGTGTGTGTGTGGAAAAGTGAAAATGCTATTTGGGCCATAATCATATTGAAATTCTTAGCAACAAGCAACGGCGAAAAAATTAAAATAAAAGAAGAAGGAAAAATCAAACAAAACCGAGAAACCACAATTAAAGGTTCAGGCAAAGAAGTGGGGAAAAAGTGAGCGGCGCTGTTATTATGCGGCCAAGTGAAAAAATCTTAATTAAATAAATGTTAATCGGAAATTCTGCTTCGTGGAATAATTAAAAATATAAATTTATGAATTTGCTCTCTGCCATCTCGCTCGCACTTTCTGCCTGACCTCGGTTATCATATGTTCCTTCTTTACTGCAGTTGTTGTTGCTTTGAATGTGCTGCAACATTTTATGTTGTTGCCAAGCTGAAATTTGTTTTCATCCCCGCATAAAAATAGTTTCAAACATATAAAAAAACAAATACCAACGGAGGCAAACATAAAGTTCCCACAGCAGATCAATCGAAAAAGGAGCAAATAAATCCACGTCTACGCTTTTATTGCTATTGTTTTATTGGGTAAGTTTTTCGCTTAAATCAAGTTACCATATTAAAAATTGCAAAGGCAAAAGTCAGAGGGAAAAAAACATAATAAACCACAGACGGCGGCAATCTACAGAAAAAACAAGTTGGTTGCCAAGAACCAGTTAAGCGTTGCAGACCAACTGCCCCACCCCCCCGCCATCTGCCCCCTGAAAATGATGACGGGTTTTTACCTGCCCGCATCCCTCTCGCTCTCTCCTTCTGGCACACAGCCTCCGATCGTTCTGGCTTCTCATTTTGTTTCACCGGCATTTAATAAATGGCAAACAGATTCAAACAGTCGCGGTTTTAGCTTTGCTTCTTTTCAGCGGCTTCAGATTTGTGTTTGCACAAGTATTGCAGTGGGATGCTATGCCCCACGGTGAACAGTGGGATTAAATCTTTAATTTAGGAGAGGGTGGGGAACAATGAGCCTAAAAAATGAATAAAGAAAGATTGTATATCAAATTTTTCTGGCTTATACAAGCAGTTCCAACATTACTTAGAACACTATGTATCCTGTTTGAGTTCAGTTCAAGCAAATAACAGCTGTTAAATATTTCCGCTACTTACCTGAGTTGCTTAATAAAACATACATATGTACATGAGTATATACATAGGTCTAGTTTTAAGAGCGGGAAAACAAACTGAAGCCCTTTTACCTGTGACAATTAAAATTCCATCAATGCGTACTTTTTATTGCTCTATTTTCAGATGTTGTAAAAGGCGAAAGGGGGTTAGTTAAATTCATTTAGGAATTTTGCTTTGACCATTGTAATCCGTTTCTTTGGGTTTTATGGTTGTCAACCACTGTGCGTTGTCTTTGAGTATTTCTCCATCTGTCTTTCCCCTCACTTCCCCTTTCATCTTATACTCAATTGGGTTCAACGGTAGTTGACGTTACTCGCTTGCTAATTGCAGCTGAGAAAGAGAGAAAGAAAGAGAGCAAACAACAACTTTTAACTGTTACTTGATGCGTTGTTTGCTCGTTTGTCTCAGCTTCATGCAATCTATTAGCCGCTCTCCCTCCCACAACCCCACTCCCTATATCCATATCTCTGTTGCTCTCTTTTGCTCCAGGTACCGTTAGGGCAGAGCTTGGGGCAATTGACTCCGATTTACAATCCGCAAAGTCGCGTTGCAGTGGAAAGAAAAACAACAAAAAACAAAATAAAGGCAAAAAGAAAGAGAAACGGAAGCAGACGGCTTATCTCCCGTCTTTTTACAGTTTAACGCCACTGATTACGGCGGCTTATATATTTAATCTTAATAGCCGAAATTTGCCCACTGTTTGCGACGTGTCCCACAAACTGTTTACACATAGTGTCAGTTGAATATAACTTCTCATTTCAATGAGTATTCAAAATTAGCTTTATTATATCAAAAAACCTACTATTACTAGTAGTAGTTAATTAAGCTAAAATACACATCTCTGTATTTATCCCATAATAAATAGCACTAAACTACAAAATTAGATTATAATATCCTTATTAAAGGGATTTTTCAAGCCGAACATAGCCCATTGGCATTATCATATAATAGGATCAACTAATTTTTCGTTGGAAAAACAAATTGCTAGCCACCAACATGTTTGTGTGCAATTATTTATGATACTCAGTCCAAAACTAATGGCTGCTAAATATTGCTTATTCTAGATTAATCATACAGCTTACTAGTATAATATGGGAATTCACAAAACATTAACTGGGAAACCCAAATCATTGTGCTTGGGAATTAGTTTGCTAATATTAAATGTTAAACGGGAAGTACCCATAGTAATAATCGAAAACGGTAAAGCATAAACTGTTGCTTCCAACGCGTGTAACTTGATAAGCGAATTCCGGCAAAATGCCTCTTGTATCTTAAGAATACAAGTACGTGGCTTTTACCTGCGGGTTCTTATCACTCCGTCAGCTGTCAGAGTGCGCTCTATACATATATAATATATAAATAATCATTGTCTCTTATATATTATATACCACGCGCAGTCAAGTGGTTTAATTGTAGCTATCGCTTGCACTCCATCGAAAACGCTTTCCATTCATTCCTGGCCTAACTTAATTGATTATACATTGCGTTCTCACGCTTCTATTGCGATTTGGGTTTAGTTTTTGTTTACGGACTGGATAATAAAATATTCGATTGCGGATAGGCAATTCGCATGGTTAGGGCTCATAAAACTCCCTTCTGTCATTATGATTTGTGCTTTGCGCTCGGTTATCGCTCAGTTTATAAAGACATTCTTATCTTCGGTAACTTTGGCTGTGACAAAAAAAGCTTGATGTATTTTTCCTATTCTTTTGAAATGCTTAGGTATACAGTATTACAAAAAGGTTGCAGTACTTTCTTATGTAAACATACGAAACATTTTGTTGGTTTTTAGCGCAACGCCAGACGCTGACAAATTCTAAAAATACTTTAAAGGGAAATCGCATGTGTTTTCGAAAGAAGATCAAAGTCAAGAACCACGCACACATGTCCACAAATCTATGCATTTGTGCTGACCACCAACAATGAAAACCTATCAACTTCAATTTGATTATAACTTTTTGTGATTTTCCATTTTTGTCTTATCGCTTCCTGTGGATTTTTTGTTATGATCAAAACTCGGCATGCATTCATTTTAGATTTTACTGTTGAGGAATTTCTATAATTAAACCTTGATATATGATACAGATCAACTTTTAGATAGTATTCTCACAATTTCACTTTCAAATTTCATTATTTAGATGCCTTGACTTAGTTTTTATGCCTTATTTTTGTTTGCTTTCACTGCCCTGTACTTGGTTGTTCAGAATTCAAAACACTTTTGCTTGTTTTTACCACAAGTTCTCTTGCCTGCCTGTATAACCACCTTTTTGCTATTACCTTTAATAACTTGTCGTGACGCAGGTGAAAAGGGAGGTTCAAGTGGCAACAAGCAACGATGCCTATTGTTTTATTACTTACTTAGTTCGTATCGAAAGCCAATCGATCTCTGGCACAGTTGCAAATTAAGAAGGAATGCGAATAATTGAATACATTAGTATGTTAATTTTGGTTCGAGCGCTTTGCTTAGGTCAAAGCTTCAATCAGTCGTAAATTAAGTGTAGGTGCACAGCTGTTGACTTGTTGGCGATGGGTTCTGAGTGCCTCGTGAGTCGTTAACGTTTTTGATATTTACAAAATACAATTGTTGAAAATAATAATAACAATTATTTATTAGACACATTTTATGTTTTTTAATTAATTTCAGGCATTGATTAAAACTACAAAATTTTGGTTTAGATACAAACCGAATTTGATATGCTCTTGCCAATAAATAAAATTGCCGAAATGTGACAGCAATGTTTACAATGTAAACAACAAAATATTTTTGAGCATCCAAATATGGTAATGCTAGACATTCAATATGTTTGGCTCTTTTATTTATTTGCGAAGGTGGGTGCTAATGAATCGTTTGAAGTAACCCAAATGAATGCTGATATAGCCCGAACTTTGATTTCTTGTCACGAGCACTTCGCCATCACAAAATTGTACCCTACCTGTCAACTGTGGTGACGATGTAATTGAATAGATAGCAACACCGAGTGGCGGCGCCCCCGACAACAGTTTCTAATTAGTTGTGAAACTTTTTTGCCCCTTCACCGCCCATTGTGGAACATTGTGGGTGTTTTCCTTTTCGCCAGCCTGTATTTTGTCTCTTTGGCGCGAATATTCTCAGCGCGTCGGAAGTTTTCCCATGTCAAATGCCAAAGCATCGTAAATTTCGAACTCCATTGTTCGGACTCACAAAGATGCCTTAATTAAGCAGCCCCACAGAATTAGCATACGAACGATTTTAGGAGGGATATATTTATAAAGAGATTTTGTTTTTGCTATTTGTCGTGGTCGTTGACATAATAGAATTTATATTACTTGCGAGCTTATTTACCCACGAAAGTTCACCAAGTTATTTATTAAAGTTAACTTCGAAGTCGTCTATATATTTCAATTGAGTTGCGCAATTACTTTAATTCGTTGTTTTAATTGTTCTTATCGGGGGAAAATAATTATTCATTACTCAGAATGCAATATCAATTATACGCCCCGTTGTACGGGCATTAATATCACGACTGGGAAAAATGGCACAACAGCTGGCACAGAAGGGCTTTTCAGCCCGATAAATGAGTTTTTTTTTAGCTTTAAAGCAAACGACAGGAGAGACCGATAAAAATGGAAGCTATTAAATATTAAATCCAGCTAAAATTTAAATTACTGCAAAATCATTGCAATCAAGATGCTAATATTTTTTTAAAATTATTATTTGAAAATTGTTTATCGGTTTAAAGACTTCAAAAGATGAATCGTTGGTAAAATAAATAAATTTTCAAAATATCTGCACATTGTATTTGTAAACAATTGGTGCAAATTCACCTTTTGACCAAATGGTTGAAAACAAAAGATACTTTTCCAATTTCGATAGATTTGTATAATTGCTCAACATGAAACAATTGGTAAACAATTCCATAATGCGCATTAAATTCGATTTGTATAACCAAGGAATAATTGAAAGACGAAGGGTTGCAGTTGAGTTATTTTAACCATTGAACTTTTGATTATCAAACTATAGTAGTGCGAAATAATTTTGTAATCAAAGCCACCCATTAAATATTTGAAAGGCTTCGACCAGCATTATTTTTCGAAAATGATATGCACCTCGAATTATAATAATTACTAAACTTATTGCTGTATGTATATATAATTAATTTATAATTGGCCAGACCATAAATGTGTTTTCAATGCAAGGTCGGTCATTGATTGAACACAAGTGAACACTCAAATGAAAAATTTTACCCAAGCAATTTGAAATATTTATTGGTTAAGGCGGCGATTCTTATGTGATTTTTTCACCTCGTCAATTGGTTTTTCAAACGTTTTCCCCGGGTTCAATAACAATGACAAACGAGCTTCTGATGAACGGGAACATCTTAGCCATCTGGCGTTTGCTTTGTTGCTATTGAAAATGCAATGAACTTTACAGCGCAATCGCCATTTATTTTTATCTTTGGCCCGCTCCCGTTTCTCTTTGCCTTTTTGGCTTATTTCGATACCGATTCTGGTAATCGCACCCGGTTTTGGGCTTGGCCTGGCGGAATTGTTTATCTCCTCGGTTTTATTTCGCATGTGCGTGGCTAAAAATATTTTTAATTTTGTTGTTGCTGCTCGCTGCTGCCTGCTGCTGAAAGTATCGACAACCGCAAAAGCTAAAAGCCAGATACGGATACGTTCACAGACATAGATACAAAGGCACTTTGAAGTCGACCATTGAAGGGGCTTCCACTAATTAGCCAAAGTGGAAGTAAACTTATCAGTCTGGCCGCCTTCTTGAGGTCGTTTAACCCATCGGACAAGTGAATAAATCAAGTTTTGGCACTCGAAAGTTTTTTTTCTTGTAGCTCGTAAAACGGAAAGAAAGGAAAATTAAAAGTGGCAGACAGACTTGGTAAAAGTTTCGTTCTTTTCTCTACTGCACTTTTCTTTTTATTTATTTTTCATTCTTGTCTGGGGTGTCTTTTTATGGTTCTTAGCCATGACAGAGGCAAAAATCAAATGAAAGCCAAATGACTAACAACATTACCACTAAAAACTACAAAAAAGGCAGAAAAGTATTATCGTAAATTTTAGCAAAGAAAGTTTTATTTCGCCAAGTGATTTATGATTTGCCCGAAATGATTTTACTAATTTAAATCTTATAAAACTAAGGCAATAAGAAAGAAAATGTATAGCTAAATTCGGTCGTGTGCCAAATTCGTTTTTAGCTTTCTTATGCCCACTGAAGATTCTTTGGGTGTTCGTTAATATAAGGTACATATATAGAAACCGCAATCGGATGTACATATATGCACATGTATATACATATTTGGCAATTGTATTACGCCATTGGCGCAAGTTTACTTTTCGCAATGGCTTCCCAAATTAGTTCATCACTCATTGAAAAATTAAATAAAATACGAATTGGATGTTATTAATTTGTTTTCCATTGATTAAGAAGGCGAAAAGTAAGAAAGGGGCTTAATTAAAACGAGACATTGGGTAAGAAACAATTTGTTTTAGTCAAGTGTTTATATTATATACTTTAAAGTTGATATGCCTTTGTTTGTAATTGGTTTGTACTAGGTAACTAAAAATAAAATTTCTTTCCTTCCTTTTTAAACAAAAAATTTATTTGCGGAACAGGAAGTGGCACGCGCGGAGTTTTAGATAATATGTGTTCGCCAAATTGAAAGAAGGTTCCATTAGTAGTTGACCTTGCTTTTGACACTTTTGACAGCTCAGAAATCAAAGTTCAAGCCCAGTGTGAAAAACGTTATTGTTTTGGGACGCCTTGAACTTTTTTTCTGTCAATGCGGCAATCGATTGGGTTGAAAAATCTTGAAAAGCAGCTGTGCCAAAAGCAACAAAGGGCAACCTACGTGGAGGTTTTGGAGTATCAAAACGCCCCCATTCTCGGCACCCGAGTTACGCTTGACCTTGTGGCTCTTTGTGTTCGCTACTACACTTTTCGTGATGGTTTCATTTCATTTTGGGTAGGCTCTTTGGCTTATCGTAAGCCCCCAAGTCTGAAATCAAGGGCAAGCTTAAAGCGCGCGTTTTTATTATTATTATTTTTTTTATTTTTCGTTTTTATATATTTTTGGTGGTTGAGTGCGTCGGACGGGTTCGATAAACTCGCGGGCAGCAATTAAGCCAGCTTCGTTATGTTTTTATAGCTCCGAGTGTAATTTGTAATCGGATTGCTCTGTTTCCACCTTGCCGTATCTTAATAACTACTGAACTTTCGATCAACAATTTATAAATGTTCAATTTTCGGTAAATGCTTTAAGTTGTTTTAATCTAAATTGAACAACCAAGAAATATACTTTGTGTTGCACCAAATTAATTCAGAATTCCCTAGCCAGCATCTTAGGATTTTTTTAAAGAAGCTTATACACACAACAGTTTTAAAATTGAAGTCATAAAAAAATAAATAGCTATCTGCCTTAGAACTTATAAATTTTTTTCTATATATACACAAAATTGTAATTATTATGATTGTTATACATGGCTGGAATATTTTTTTATTCACAATCTACGCAATTAAGGGTTTCCTAAACTTTCTTATCAAGAAAAGGAAATCATAAATTTTTCCTAGAAACAAAAATATATTTTTAAATGTTATAAGAATGCTCTGGTTCCTTTTTATATGTATTTCTCTGAAATTATATTTCGTTTATTAATGGAATTCGTTTTTATTTTACTTTTAGATGGTAATGGACTCTGCAAAGAAGAGGGTGATGGCACCCACAACATTCGTGTCCAGGTGCTAGGACCATCTACTGGAATATATGTATATAGGAGCAACACTCTGGATACGATATCCAATTACACTGAAACAAAAGGAGGGAAAAGAAGCACACATATCCAAGGTAGATCGTGGCCAGGCCTAAGAAGGTTATCTGATGGTTGTGGCTCGCGAAGATGCCTTCAGCGAACACGGAAGACTTGCGGCGAAAGTTTCTAGTAGTGCAGCAGCAGCGCTCGGCGCCTCCGAATTTGGCCGGCGAGATCCTGCCATCGGCGATACCGAATGCCAGTGCCGGCAGTTCCGCCACCACCAGCCTGATGATGACCACATCGACGGGTCTGGGTTTGGGTGGTGTGCCAATGGGCCTCATTGGCGAACCGGAGCGCACCTATGTCTTTCCCGGCGGGAATCCAATTGTAGGTAGCGCTCCGGGTGGTGGTCAAGGCATTCCCGGAGTTGTGGTAGCGGGTCCTTCCCGAGGACACGCCCGTTCGATAAGCCATGGTGGTGGAGCCATCGTTGGTGCCAATGGACGGCCCATCAAGTCGGCCATGAAGGGTCACCAGCGGGCCTTTTCCCAGGGTCAAATAACCGATTCACCACCGGGAAGTGCAGCGCCAGCGGGAAGAGGTCACAGTCGCGTGGGTTCCAAAACGGATTTCATCCTGCCACCGGGTCACAAGGAGGAGCCGGCGAATCGGGAACCCTCGGCGCCCACTTCGGCGGTTGGGGGGCGTGGCCATTCGCGGCAAGCCTCGCGATCGGAATCCATATACACACTGCGACGAACGGAGGCGCCACCGTGGTGGAAACGCCTCAGCCTGTGCAACTACAAGTCCAGCGATAAGTTCGAGGAGCGAAGCTACCGCATGGTGGTGCCCAATCACACGGTGCCACCGAAGACGCCCAAACGGGATCATCCCAACGGACAGTTTGTCGGCAACAAGATCAGGACCACAAAGTACACGCTGCTCTCGTTTATACCCAAGAATTTGCTAGAGCAATTCCATCGCGTGGCCAATTTGTATTTCATCTTCATTGTCCTTTTGAATTGGGTGCCGGAAATCAGCGCCTTTGGCAAGGAGGTGGCCATGATTCCAGTGCTCTTCGTCCTGGGAGTGACGGCGGTCAAGGATCTGTTCGAGGATCGAAGGAGAAGGGCGTCCGACAAGAGGATAAACAACACAACCTGTCGGGTTTACGATGGGTGAGTAAAAGAATTTATTACAATAAATGTAGAACAAGTTAGAAATCAATTCTAATGGATAAAGTTTTGCATTACTACTGTACAGATAAAAAATATAGTAAATAAATATCAATACTGATTCATAAAAAGAAACAAAGAAAAATATGATAGGTTAAGCTGTGCCACTATCAGATATTCGATAAAAAGTTAATTAAATCCCATAATTCCCAAGCTGAGTAAAAGTAGCTTTATACACAATTTCAGACTAAATAAAATTAAACTGTTGACAAGATAGAACCTCAAGTGAGCTAAACAAACGAACAATACACATTCCCAGAAAAATCTTTATTCACCAACTAGTTTAAACTAAGACAAATTTAAAGAATTGAATTATGCGTCAGTCACAAAACCAGTTTAAACCCACAAATAATGTTATCAATAATGGGACAAGTGTCACAAACCCAACACACTCCCCCATTATTCTTACAATCTCTTCGGTAATTTGTCAATTTCCCGTTAGGAAAACTTTCCAGAAGTCTTTTACTTTGTTGTGCAAAGTAAACCGAAGCAAAAACATGAACCCTCGGGCCAAAAAAAAAAAAAAACGAAAAAGATTTTAACGAGCCACTTGGCTTTGGTTTTATGTTTGGCTTGCGTTGCTCATGCACCACCCCATCGACCACTGGTTGCTGATGGAAATTGTTTGCCCCGTCTGCGATTTTGTTCGCTATACATACATATTTTAAAACGTGATCTAGAAATCGATAAACTGCCAGGAGAGCAGAAGCGACAAGCGACAACAATAACGCTGGGTAAACTTTCCCTCGCTGTTTGAACTAAACTTTTCCCCGGTCCCCTCTTTCTTTTTATTTTATTTTTATTTTATTTGGCTTCGGCGGCCGGCTCTTTCTGCTGAATCTCGGGGTTTGGGCTTTTGTCCCACATTTGCGCGTCGTTGACGCATACTTTTTACCTGCCCTCACCTTTCGTTTGCCAGACTTTCCAACCGAGTGACAATTTACTTGCAGTGCACGTGTACTTACACCGAAAAAAAATACAATGTACTCGTACTCGTTGTCAAACAAGATCATAAAAAAAAGCATAAAATATATAAAAAATTATTTTTTGTACATAGTTTATTTTTTAATGCACTTAGGAAAAATGTAGTAAAACTTTTATGAGATACGCGATATTTTTTTCATTTCTATTGATAAATTAAGAGTTGATATTTTAGATCTACATTTTATTTGATTAAAGGTTTTAGTCTCACAACATTGTCTAAATCTTTACCTAAAATTTTTAAGTTAAGTGGTTTGAGTTGACTTAAAAAATGTAAATTTCCCAGCTAGTCTTTTTTTCTCAAAGGCTAGTTTTCCAAGTTTTCTGGTTTCATTTCTGCTTGCTATTCAATTGTTGACTTGGCGTCCCGTTTGTTCAAGTAGCCGCTAACCAAAATAAACAGACCAAAGACAAAGACAATGGACCCCAAGAAAACGGAACAAATAGTGCCTCTCCATATCAAATCATGAAGATCTCTTTGTTTTTTTTTTTTTTTTGCCCTGTATGCTGACCAATGAACTTACACATTGTTGTTGCTAATTATATTTGCATTTCCCTATTCTCTTTGACGCTCTTTGCACAATTGTCATAAACCAAAGCGATTTTGTTGTTTGTCGCTATTGTTCGCAAAACGTGTCTAGCACAGTGGTTAAAAAATGTGTTATAAATTTTAAAAAAAATGTATTACAATCTTATAAGATCTATTAACAATTGCAATCAATAGTATTTTAGTTTATCTTGAATATTTGATAAAACAAAAAAGCAAAAAAAAAAAAATGTTTTATCTTGTCATTATGGAAACTACAAAAATTTCAAAAATATTTGGAGGTCCAAACAAACTCATAATTCACTTGAAGTGGAAAATTTCCAATCGGCAAAGACCACTTGAGCCCACCATCCGTCCTTTTCCCAGTTGCCGTTCACAAAAGCCGCACGTTACATGCAAATGACACGCATGTGGGTCCCACTAAATATGGCAGTTTGTAGCCAACCAACCAACTGGACAACTGAACAACTGACTCACAGCCAGTCGGTGACTCTCGGGGCTGAAAAAACCTCGGCACAGTGAGTTTGTTAGCGGGACTGAGAAACAGGCCTACAAGATCGTATATGGTATATATGTATATATATCAGATCGCTTAGAGGGGGCAGCATTTCCAGTTTAACGGCCCTGACCATCTCACGCTTGTCCGATTTTTGTCCACGAATCGAATTCAAGACCATGTGCATTACTCGTAATCGAATGAATCATAATTGCGAACTCGGCTGAGAGTGTGAACTACTCGAGGTTTCTTCGCTCCATCTTTCACTGTTATTGTGATTACAAATGAACAAATTTTTTGGCTCAAGGTGAACTCGAAATATTTCACATTGGCCAATATCTAGATTTCGTTGAAAGGGTTTTTTTTTTGTTTGCTTAAATTTCTCTTTGAATGTCATGTTAATTGCAACCCAATCGAATTGGTTTTGGTGTGCTAACCGGGTGATTAAACCTAAATTGAAGTGTGAAAAGTCTGCGGGCTTAATTGATGCGAAAATCAATTCACACAAAGAAATTCAAACGGATTTAGTCACACAGATGTTTTCAGGAAGTCCAGGGTTATAATTAAAGGTATTGATTATTTCCAGAATTAAACTTAATCGTGGGCTTTGATAAAAAAAACAAATCATACTAATTGTTTATGCTCTGAATCATACATTCATAAATGCTGAAAGTATTTATCGAACTTAGGAATATTTGTTTGTGTAAAAAAAATCTGGAATGACTCAAAAAATATTGTAAATAGTAAACTGCTCTAACTACTCATAAAACCGGGAATGACTCAAAAATAAGAAAAGTAAACTTCGGCTTCTGTTTGATTCAATCGGAGCTCCACTTAATTTCCTTGACTTGAGTCAATTCCCGCTGATTTCCGGATGGTTTCAACTTTTCTGATATTGATATGCCCGGCGAAGAGTCATCGCTTAAATAGTGCAATAAATTCGCAATCAAATGTTGTTGTGTTTTCTTGCGACAAACGAAAGATTCCGGGCGCAGCAAGAAATTTCTGAACATTTATCGAAGCGAAGAAGAGGTCTTTTCATCGCTTTTTCTGCTATACTCGTCTGGTGGAAGTTTTCCGCTTACAGAACAAAAATACGAGTTTCATTCGCTGCGCTTTTACCTTATGTAAGTCATTATGCAACACATTTGCGCATCTGGCGTTCTGAACGAAGCAAGATTTTTTCTGGAATTAAGCGGAAAAAGTAAACAACAATTGCCACTCACTGTAACTCGCCAATATATAAGCATTTATATATATATTCTTTCTCATTTCTTCATGATTATTTATTGCTTTTTGTAAGTATTAAAAACCAAAGTTTCCGGCATTGCAATTGCAAATTGAAATCACCACTGAAAATTCAAAAATATGAATGGGAGAGAAACGAGCACGATAAAATTAGCATTTTTATGAACTAAATGCTATTAAATGAAATTTATGATTCGTGTTAATTAATATATTACTTGTAGAGCAAAATATGTTTAAATGTTGTTTTGAGGCATTGTTGCATAAAAAAGGAATATAACTTGTATTTCAAAACAATTATTAAGAACTTTGTTTTAAATTCCTGAACTTGACTTACCTTGACCACATTGAGTTATTAAATAAATAAATAATAACCCCATTTAGAATTCCGTTTAACCGCACTTTTTTGAAACTTTTAAAAGTTCACCACACCAGTTGTCGGGAACAACCTTATACAACTTGTACAACTGTCGGTTTTGAGATGGGCGTGAATCAGCTGCTGATTCTCTCAGGTGTCAAGTGTGCACTTTCACCGAAACTGCATGAATATATTCTGAGTGTCAGAGCTCTATGATTCTGATTGTGGTTCTGGGGCTAGACTTGAGGTCTCTGCATTAAATATAAAACACGGCCATCAAGGCTATGGGAAGAATTTGTGTGGGGCACGTTGCGGGTTCAAAATAAAAAAATAAAATACAAAAAAATAAAACAGAAAAAGAGAGAACGCTCAACCTTGAAAAGCAATCGCGATACGACCGCAGAAAACCGTATAACCGAATGTATCTGTCGGATGTGGTGTTCTAAAGCCAGTTAGATGGTGGTGATGATCATCGGAATGAAAATATGACAGACCCCTGATAGTTATGCTCTACTGGGGCGTATCTTGTGTTCTTTTGCCATTCCGGTGATCTCTGCCTATGGTTTCCATATTTTTTTTTGCTTTATTTGTTTGTTAGTTTGGTAAAAGGCTTAATTTTTGCCCGCCACACGCACACTTAAGCTGGCAAACACAAACGCAATGTAAAGACCGAAACTCATGACATTGAAAATGCTAAAATACAGCAACAGACAAACGGGTTTTCCATTCCCCATTCAAGCAAACCGGTTGGCAATCATCGTTTACTGCCTCAGACTCAGACTCGGTCTCAATCTCAAATCTCAGACTCAGTCTTTGCAGCCTGGGAGACTCGTTGTATACTCGTAGCAGATACAAAGGCAATTGTCTAGCAAGAACCACAGACTCGCCATCCATCTTCATCTTCATCTCCTTCTCCGGTGGATTCGGAATCTCGGTGGAGGCCAAAACCTGATGCTGATGCCACTGCAAAGCCGGCCATCTAATGGCCATGTTAACAAACGCCAGAGACCATTAACACCATGCTGCAATTGTCAGTGGTGCTGGTTGCTGGTTGGTTGGTTGGTTGGTCAAGTTTTCCGATTTGTTTTCTTCACATTTGCTGCCTTCGCTGGTTTTCTTGCAGTGTCACTGATCCGGTGGCTTGTTTCCAACTGTGCTGGGTTCAAGTAAAGCCAAAGCTCAGATTGGAGTCGGGCTCAGGGACAAGTTAAGGGGAAAATATGGTCAGCCAGGTGATGATGACTTTGGGTATAAAGAGAAACATTTTTCACACTTGTTGCAAATAAAAGAAAACCGAGGGCAATCTTGGTTTAGCC